CGATCAAATCGTCAGAATAATACCTTGAACTACGAATTGAACATCAAATCAAATGATTTTTTCAAGAAAACTTTGAAAATTCTATTTCACAACCGGACGTCCGAATCACGTCAAACCAACTCCGTTTCTTACCAAATTTGACAGACAAGTCATAAATATGATATTGGACCTATACCAGGTTCCAGAACCAAAATACGGACCCGTTATCCCAAAAGTCAAACATTTCGAATTCATTAAGCCTTTAACTTTCAAATTTCGACAAAGCCCGATATCTCGGGCTAGGGACTTTCAAATTCGATTCCGGATATACGTCCAAGTCTTAAATCACGATACGGACCTACCGGAACCGTCAAAATACGAATCTGGGTCTGTTTACTCAAAATGTTGACCGAAGTCAACTCAAATGAAGTTTTTAGGCAAAAACTCTTGTTTTTATCAACTTTTAACATATGAGCTTTCTGGAAACATGCCCGGACTGTACACACAAATCGAGGAGGGATAAAATGAGGTGTTTAATGCTTGAAAGAGCAGAATTGGGTTCTAAATCTTAAGATGATCTTTTGGGTCATCACACGGTGTGTGAGGTGTGTCAGCTCGAATCATTGCATACGGAGACTTGAGGTAGATCTGCTGGCGTCCGAAGACCTTGGAGTCCCATTCCTCTTCCCTTTTTTACTGTTCATTTCATTCGAAGTAATTGTATTTATTTCATACTCTGTTTGTAGAATTTCTAGTAGCTCGTGTACTCGTGACTCCGGATCTTTGGGAGTAGATACTATGACACGACTCATGATGGCTTTGTATTAGATTGAGTTCCTATATCTTGTTATTTATCATTACCTTGTTTAAACTGTTAAAATTTGGCTAATCAACTATCTCACGTCGGCTTGCCTAGCAACTGGATCTTAGGCGCCATCATGACTCCGAGGTTGGGATTTTGGGTCGTGACACCGGTGCTAGAGGCAAAGGCTGATAAAGCGGCCGAGCTTGAGGCCTGGTTGCAGCAGAGTGAGCATGAAGTGATGGACCACAACTAAGAAGCCACTCAGTTACATGCACAACTTCAAGATGCTAAGGCTAGGTGGGTTGAGTTTCAAGATGCTGCTCTTGCTACTACCGAGCGCGAGTCTGCCTCTATTGAGCTAATAATTAACTTGGAGGCAGCCTTGAATTTAAAAGCCGAAGAGGTTGATCCTAGCAAAAACGGGCCCGGATAGAAGAGAGGTTTAAGGAGATCATAGAGCAAACCCGGGTTCACATATCTACAATCTGTGATCTTGATCTTAGCCTTGGCGCCATAAGATTCCGAGCGAGATGGTCTCCAGGCCGAGGTTGACAAGCTTAAGTCAAAACTCCAGTTCCAAAAAGATTCCCTTGTATTTGAAACGGCGTCATATGAGGAGAAAAACCTTGGAGGAGTCCAAAGTGGGCAATGATATTAATGATGAAATCGCCACGGCTCGAGAACTGGAGTTAACTGAGTATTCGAGAACTGAGGAGGAGCTCGAAGAGAATGTTGATGAAGGCCTAGATCCCGCACCGGCAGTAGATCTGCCCACTTCTCCCTGGAGGGGGGGAGGGGAGGGATGAGTGTAGATGCCTCTCTTCCCCCGAGTTCCGATGGGGATAATGTTTAGATTTTTCCCTTTCTATTTTGCTGTTTTCCCTTTGTACTTTTGTACTTATGCTATTTGGCTTGTTGATAACTAAAGAAGACTTTTGTTTAAGTATTGCGCAAAGTTCATTCATTTTGCATGCGTCGAATTCGATAAGGCTTCGGGTGTATTTTCATCCGTTAGATTTTTGTTCCGCGCATAAACTCTTCTGGAACCAATCCTTTACTATGAGGGTTTTATAAGAGAGGAACCTCTTATGTTTATGGTGCTCTTGAAGAGGACGTCACCTGTTCCGGCACAAGCATTTGAAGTTTTCTATTAACTTTCAAATGATAAAATTAACTCATCGTTTGGACAAGAAACAAGATAAAAACGAAAGAACTTTATTTTATTCCTTCCATATTTAAAAGTACATAAGCATTTGATTGCTAAAGAAAAGAAATTGCCAATACTTGTGGCTAACTTGTACAACTTATATCTATGGAGCTGGTCATGCAGTCCCCAGTCTCGATGAGACATTGTTATTCTCGGGTCTCGTAGTCCCGATTTTTGTGGCATCCTTATTGCCGTATCCAATACTATTTCCCCTCCCCCAGTGTTTGAACACAAAGTATGAGAATTGGAGCACTGCAGGTCTTGCTACGCTGGTTAAACGCTTGTGAACGGTTGGATAGTCTTTGGTTCGATGGCAAGCTTTGTTTTAGGAACTTGCCATTGAGCCAAAGATTATCTAACCATCCCAAAGTGGTTTATGGTCTCAATGCCTTGTAATTTAAAGGTCTTAACTTTGCCAATGACGCTTCCTTTGTGTATGTTTTTAGTTACCGCCTCGTTAAAAACCTTGCCAGAAAAATTTGATTAGGACAAAAACTGACTTGAAGGGGAAAAGAGTGCAGCAGATACTTTTAGTATAGGCAAGATCCATCAACAATAATACCTTTTGAGTTGAGTCACGTTCCAATTGCTAGGCAATTTGACTCCAGTTTGATTCTCCAACTCATATGATCCTTTACCGGTGACAATTGAAACCCGATAGGGGCCTTTGCACGTCGGACCCAGCTTCGCAACGTTGATTTTTCAAGTGTTCTGAGTCACCTTCCTCAAAACCAAGTCTTCTACCTTAAAGTAGCGGAGATTGGTCCTCCGGTTATAGTACTTTTCCATCCTTTGCTTTTGAGCCACCATCCTCACTTGTGCTAGGTCCTTGTGTTCATTGAGCAGTTCCAACTTTACCACCAATGCCTCATTATTTGCTTCTTCGTCTGTTCGGGAGAACCCTAAGGTTGGTTCTCCTACTTCCACAGGGATCAGAGCTTCTACGCCGTATACGAGAGAGAAAGGTGTCTCTCCCGTGCTCGATTTTACAGTCATCGGGTACGCCCATAGCACGCCCGGTAAGTCTTCTGGCCATTTGCCTTTAGCCGCTTCTAACCTCTTTTTGAGATTTTGAATAATCATCTTATTGGTTGACTCCGCCTGCCCATTAGCGTTCGGATGTTATGATGAGGATGTTATCCTTTTGATTTTCAAGTCTTCAAGAAATTATGTGACTTTGGAGCCTATGAATTGTGGTCTATTATCGCAGGAATCTCCTTTGGTATTTTGAATCGCCAAATTATGTGTTCCCATAGGAAGTCTATCACTTTGCGCTTACCAATCTTTTGGTAAGGACCCGCTTCAACCCATTTAGTGAAATAATCGGTTAAAATTAAAAGAAACCCCATTTCATGAAAAGTCATGGGGACAGTACCAAGTGCAGGAGTTCTGCCGGCTGGGGTACCAATTGTGCGTAGCGTTGGTACTTGTCGCATTTTTGTACGAACGTCTTTGCGTCCTGTTCCATCCGAGGCCAGTAGTATCTTGCCCTAACTAGTTTTAGCACCAACAAATCTGCGCTGGTTCCCCAAATTCCTTATATAGCTATACCTAGGAAGCAAGTTTGACTTTGGTTGCTCGTTATACATAAGCGATATCTATACTTTGTATAATATGCGTACGTGTTTGACTTTGGTTGCTCGTTATTCTAGATTTTGCTAGTGGAACCTTTTTCTGGTTATTATCCTCTCTTCGATAGAACCTTTTCCCCTTAAATTTTAGTAATAAAAACATATAATCAACTCCATCAAGAAGCATTCTGCTTCCTTTGAATTGAATTCAGTGTTACATAATTGAATATGTAAGATTTGAAATTGACATAGATATAATAGAAATATTTAAGCATTAAGTCTAAACAGGCTGATGCTTCTACAGACTTCATTTTGTTTGTTTCCCTTTTTAAAATACAAAACTTGGGCCACAAATAATTTACATGAATCGAATTCAATGAAATACATAAAAATTACTTAAAAAAATATCTGTACCTCGTAGTGTTTGTTCTATATAGTTCAACCTAAGCGAAGTGCATGGAGTTCTTCACCAGTACAGTCGCATTTAATGTCCCCACAATGTTAAGTAATGAGTAAAAATATTCTGAATCAAAAAATTAATTAAATTATCTCTAGCAAAATTTGTCCATCCTAATCAAAATTTCAATGGGGGTATTTCGACATTTAACCCTCTCTTTTTTATATATATATATATATATATATATATATATATATAGATATATATATATATGTATATATATAACTTTAAACTCTTTTAAGAAAGAGATACGTACAAATAGTTGCAGATAATTTGAACATTCATCATTATCTATCACACTCCAAAGAATCATGGTACTCTGCCCAGAATCTTGGGCTTTTTGTTGTTAAAGTAGTTTACCCAAAGGTAAAAGAAAGTTATTTTCAACACTTTTTCTTGAGGATCTTAGTAGATATTTAAACTATCCTTTTCGAAAAGTATATAATGTAGCTTGAATTGTAATGGTCAAAACATGTATTTAATTTTTCACGTGAACTAAAACATTATTCTCAAACTTTATGAAATAAAATATACATACTTGGAAATTACATAAGATAGTGTTCTTGTTTATATTAAAAAAATATGCAAATATATGAAATACTGTAATAAAAGAAAACTAATTGACCCTTTAAATAACAGGTTCTTGTAGAATGAGACGAAGGAATTATTGTTATATGAGACATGCTGTAATAATATTCCTTGCTCAGTAAGAGAAAAATTTACAATATATCTCGCATAACAAACACAAGTTATGTAAGATTATTTTTGTCGTTTTTTAATTATATGAAACATTTTGAAGTATAGTAAAAATTCTTGTTTTTAAGTACTACTTATCTTGATTTTTGACCAGCCAATTCAAAGTTTCCTGTTGGTTGACATATGTAAGCATACTTCAGCTCTAAAACTGAGGTCCCAATATTGAAATATGGCAACAGAGAATAATGTACTTCAAAAATTTATTTAAGAAAAAGAAAATTGAAGTGAATAACTGAAAGGATGAGTATATATAATAAATAAAGCTGAGTAATTAAGGAGGGGTGCTTAGCTCCCTTCCAAAAGGACTTTAAACTAAATACAAAACCAACAACAACAAAATATTTTTATTATCTAATTAATTAAAGGAATTAAAACTCAAAAGCAGACTAATTTTGCCAGGGTGATTGATTTTGATTTTGATTATGCTGATGATGATCAAATGAAGCAGCAGCAGCAGCAGAAGATGAAGAACCCATCTGATGATGAAGACCAGTTGTAGTAGTATTATTGAGAAAATCCCTATGATGTGGAAATGCTTTAAGTCCCAAGAAATCTCTTGTCAATCCTTCATTATTTTCTTTACCTCTCATTATCAAAGGATTATTTGCACCACCAAATCCCTCATCAAAACCAACATTATTATTAGTACAAGGCAAATTAGTAGTAGTAGTAGCAGCAGCCATCATGTTTTGCATGTCATGGATTTGTTCCATAAATCCAGAGTTGACACTAAAATGATCAAAAGCACCTTTGTTATTGTTGTTGTTGTTGTCGCCATAAGATGCCAAGCCATGACCAGTAACAAAATTACCAGTAGTGGGGGCCATAGTACTATTATTAGCACTAATATTTTGAAACTGATGATATTCACGTGAGGCTAAATCGCCACTATCTGTCATGCCAGTTGTAGTAGCAGCAGTAGTAGGACTGAAAAAACTAGGAGCAGAATTAGAATTAGAAGAAGTGACACCAATTTGTGCTGCTTTTTGTAGTAATGCAGTTGCACTCATGTGAGCTGATGTTGCTGCTGTTGCTGCTCCAAATATATTGTTACTGCTACTACTACTAGGGTTATGAATGAATAACTGAGACGAAAGCTCGTTCGGAGGGTGTGGAGGAAGAAGGTTGAAATTATTAATTTGTTGTTGTTGTTGTTGTTGTTGTTCTTGTTTGAGTTGGAAGTTTTGGAGGGTATGGAGATTAAGGTGATGGGAGGTTGAAGAAGAAGAAATTAGAGGATTTGTTGTTCTTACACTTTCTTCTGCTAATGCATCACAAAAAGCTCTATGTGTGATGAAGCTATCCCTCCTGTAAAGAATAAAAAAAACAGAAATTAACATTTTCAAAAAACAAAAATACAAACAAACAAAAAGAAGAAACCATCACACATGAATAATGCAGTATAGCTAGCTTTGAGTATAGTACTGATAAAAGTGCATGCCCTCTATTTCGTCAACCCTTTTTGTCTTTCTTTTTTCTCTTTTTTTGGACAGATTAGATATATATGTACAATACAAATCACTAAAGTTTTCTAAGCAAATTGCTTTTGCAGTGAGGTAAACGATAAAGTATGGACCCTCTCTTCTCTTTCTCTCTCACACACACACACCGAGACAGTCTCATTTATATATTCAGTCGTACACATGAACTACACACGTGAACTTTGATGTTTAGTTTCTATTAGTAACTAGTTTTGATTCAAAACGTCTTCTTTTCTCTCTTATGTGATATAGATAGTCTATTTTTTCAATTATGCTTCTTAATCAATTAGTCAGTTTACATTTTGTGCTCAGATTCCAAGAACTCACACACTTAGCTAGTCAAAAAGATTAGATTGAGAGTTCTTTTTAATAGAAAAAAGTTTATACATAACCACAACACTTTAACACTATCAGGTTACCAAAAAAATATTAATATACGTGTAACTGCTTATCTGAAAATAAGATAAAAATTTACTATATAACATGCTAAATTATACCACCTCCGTTTCAATTTAGATGATGTAGTTTGACTCGGCACGGAGTTTAAGAGAAAAGATGGAGACTTTTGAAACTTGTGGTCTTAAAAGCTTAGGGGGTAAAAATTTTGTATGACCATAATATTTGTGTGGTTATAAAGTTTCTCATTAAGGGGTGAACTAGGTAAAATGAAAAGTTTAGACTTGAATTATTTCTAATTATAGAAATGTGTCATTCTTTTTTGAACAGACTAATAAGAAAAATATGTCATCTAAATTGAAACGGAGGGAGTAACTGATAATAGTGTAAAGATTTTATTTATACTATCATCGTATATAAGTTAAATCCAATAGAAAATAATGGTAATGATTACTTAATTTAGGAGAATGGTGGAGGAGGAGGAGAAGAGGAGAAGAAAATTGAGCAACAAGGGTTTGACTTTTGTATCCAAAATGATCAAGAATCTAATATAATTTAATAATACTAGTACAATTAGTAGAACTAGTTTGAGAATGTTTGTTGATGAATTTATTGTAATTAGCTTACCTAGAGAAAAGTGTTCCACAATCACATCTATACTCTCTAGTACCACAAATCTTGGAATGAGCTTTCCAATCAGACTGAACTGCATATCTCTTTGAACATTTCTCACACTTCCATTTCTTCTCACCATGTTTTCTACAAAAATGCTTCTTAATTCCAGTCAAATCCCCTAGTGCCCTTGAAGGATGATGGTGTACACATGAAGGCTCTGGACAAACATATACTTTCTTCTTCACTTCTTTGTTTGTTCTTTGCTTTAGTTTCCATGGCAAATTATGACCTCTTCTGTGTAGTTGAAGATTTTGATCTCTTTGAAATCCTTTGTTACAGATCTCACATACAAATCTATTTGTTGCCAATAGACTTTTTGGAGATAAAGCTATCACTTCTGCTTCTGGATCTAATTCAAGAAAATTTAAGTAAATTAGTTAAACCAATTAATACACAATCAAATGATCACTTAAAAAGGTAATTGCAAATAATTATATTTAATATACAGTGATCACATAACCTAGAATAAATAATAAGTTACACTGACGATATAAATAATTTTTAGACTGTCCGTGTATATAACTTAAAACCAATATATATTAACCAAAATAATAATTGTAGTACCTGGATTGCCTGGTAGATTTCTCTTCTTCTTATTAGCAGGAGCTGGTTGTGTTTGAATGTTTGTTGGTGCAAGATGCTGTGGGTAGAGAGCACTACCAATTTCAGCTCTATTACTTGAAGATATGCTTGCTTCATTAGATGCAGATGTTAAATTTGACATACTATCATCTCCTACCATACCCTTAATCATTGCATTAAAAAAAGATATAATCTACTTTGTATATATTTAGCTATCTCTCAAACCCTAGCTGAGAGAAGTGAAAAGAAGACAAAAGGCTGAAGAAGAATAGGTGTAAGAAAGCAAAGAGTAATAATAGTCTGTAAACTGCTAAGCTTACAGTCTCTCCTATCTTGTTCAAGAATTGGAAAAAGAGAAACCAAAGGTCTGAGTGAAAGCTGCTATCAAGATATTAATTCAATAAAAGCCATACACATGAGAACAAATGAAACCAAGCAAAATTATAAGATTCTTTATAGATAATAGGAAACTTTCTAGAGAGAGAAAAGACAGAAGAGAGAGAGAGAGGGGTTGTGGATGAGAAGGTATCCTTTGTTTAGTCGTCCAACCCATCAAAACCATAGCCAAAGGGTAGGAAGCTTGCTCTGACGTTGCATTTTGTCTTTTGCTTTGTTCTCTTCTCAATCATACAAATGTTACCCTCTTTGCATTATTGTACACATTTTGCTCTTCTCATTCTAGTTAATTGTTCTTTTAGGCACACATTTTATTTACCCAAGTTATTTGCATTAAAATGTACAGTAACTTTTATACACTAATAGTGTAAAAGAATTTTATACTATTAAGTCACCTAAAAATAATTAAGATAACCGTCTTATATATAATAATTGAGATTAGTCACCTGAAAAATAAAAGAAGTGGCGTATTGCAATAAATTAAAATATATCGATATATAATATAAAATTTCTTAACACTTTCATTGTACATATATTGTTAATTCCATCTTTATTTCATCATATTTCCCATTTTACCAAAAAGAGAAAAGGTAAGCATATGAAAAATTAATTAAAAGTTCAATTTGCCATCTATACTTTGTAAACTTCAGCAACCTTCCAATTTCTTTCATGGTATATTGCTTCATCCTTAGCGTTTAACGGAAATCTAGAGTGAGTTGATATTAGAAATGATATACGATAAAGATTTATGTTATATATATTGACAATATAATGAATTTTTTATATTATCATATACTTGTTATAATAGGTTGCTCATCATTTATTCTAGATTATCACACTATTAAATAAAGTACTTTACACCGTCAATAACATAATTCTAGAGTGGATAGCCTGTTTGGCCAAATTTCTAAAATCGGCTTATTTTGAAAGTACTTTTCTCAAAACTTTTGGTGAGAAGCAGTTTGTGTTTGGCTAATTAATTTAGAAGAAAATTTTGAACAACAATTAGTATTTGATCAAGGTTTTAAAAAGTGCTTCTAATTGTATATATATTTTTTCTTCTCAAAAGTACTTTTCATAAAAATGCTTTTAGGGAGAACTACTTATTATGAAGTGATATTACAAATTGTTAGTTAGGTAGTTAAGAGTTCAATTACATAGTTGGCCAGCTGTAAATTAACGGATCCGGCCGGTTAGTTAGTTGAGCCTTAGTAGAGGTAGCTAGTTGATTAACACATTACATGTATATATATTTGTATTGTTAATGAAGAGAAGTAACAGTTATCATTTCCTCACAATCCTCTCATCAGCTCATTTATTCACATGCTCTGCAACTACACAGAAGTAGCTTCGAGTTCACTGCTCCTTCATCGATGGCAGATCATGTAGATTTTAGCATGGTATCAGAGCCACCGATGCTCATCAATTACTGAGGTTGACTATCTCTATCTTAGTGATCTGTTTCTTCTTCTCAATTAGCTTTTTTTTTTGCTCATCAATGGCGGAAACTACAATTCTACATCTTCTGTACCTTGGGCCATCGGATACTCCTGGTGTTGTTCTGATTCCTGTGAAGCTTACAGGATCAGAAATTACGGTTTATGGAGCAAGACGTTGAAAATTGCCCTTCTAGGAAAAAGAAAGTTAGGTTTTGTGACCGGTACTTGTACAAAGGAGTCGTTCTCTACTGAATTACATGAGCAGTGGGAAACTTGTAATGCCATTGTCTTGTCATGGCTCATAAATATAGTTTTCACTGAACTTTTGCTGGAATTGCATATGCTTCGAATGCACATCTTGTTTGGGAAGATTTGAGGGAGAGGTTTGATAAGGTGAATCGAATACGTATCTTCCAACTGCACAGAGCCATTGCCAATTTGTCACAAGGAACTGATTCATTCTCAAGTTTACTAAGTTGAAGAGTCCATGGAATGAGTATGATGCATTGGTACTAATTTCATACTCGAGAGAATACATGGAGCATCTTCAACAGTAGAGACTTCTGTAGTTTCTCAGTGGTTTAAATGATTCGTATGATCAAGCTAGGCGATAAATCCTCCCGAAGAGTAATGTTCCCTCATTGAACCAGGCATATGCCATGGTGATAGAATATGAATCACAACAATCCCCTGGCCTGGGCTCAACTAATGAGAAGAATGATCCAATGGCTATGCAGGTAGGTAGAAGCCAAGGATACAAAGGCAAGAAGCCTTTTATGCAACGTGAACACTATGGTCTAAAAGGTCACACTAAGGAAAATTTCTATAGATTGTTGGGTATCCTGAAGACTTTAAGGCAAGAAGGATGCCTGGTAACAATACTGGAGGTCAATATTGTCGTGGCAATGGGGGTCAGTCCAGCTTTGGACGTGGTTCTCACTAACCTTTCACTGTAGCCAATAATGTACTTGGGAACACTGATGCTCATTCTCAAGGATCATCATCAACTGGTGATGTATTAAGAGGAATAACTGAAAAGACACCATATTTCACTGAGGAAAAATACAAACAAATCCTTGATCTATTAAACAAAGATACACCTTCTGATTGTCAATTCAACATGGCAGGTGTAACTACTAGTTTCTTGTCTAAAGCCTATACAGATGAGTGGATTGTAAACTCTGGTGCCACTCACCACATAGTAGCTTCCAATGATCTATTGATGAATGACAATAATACTACTAGGACTTCTAGTAATGTGGTTCACTTACCTAATGGAGAGAGAGTTCCTATTATACTTACTGGTTGGGCTGCTATATTTGGAAATAAAGCAATACATGATGTCCTTTATGTTCTAGGATTCAAGTTTGACCTCCTTTCAGTCTCCAAACTAACCAAGGAACTCTGCTGCTCAGTGAACCTTTATCCTGACTTTGTGTTGTTTTAGGGCCTTTACAGTGGCAGGGTGAAGGGGATTGGTAAGAAGACACGAGGCTTGTACATATTCAAAGGAGTTAATGACATCAATAAGGCACAACACACACAAGGCATGGTTGCTGCAGCAGTAAAGGAAGATTGCAGGTTGGGGCATCAAAGACTTGGACATCCATCTCTTCCAGCCATGAAAAATATCACTTTGCTAGACAAGAATGTAAATAGTGAGCCATTGAAGAATTGTCCAGTCTGTCCATTAGCTAAACAAATTAGACTGATGTTTTCTAATAGTACATCCAGAGCTGAAGCTCCTTTTTCTCTTGTACATATGGGTCTTTGAGGCCCAATAAAACTCCTACTTTTGACAGGAAGTATTATTTTCTAACTATCGTGGATGATTTTAGTTAGTAGATATGTCTGGATCTATCTACTACAACTTATGTCTGAAATTATAGTTGCCATTAAGAATTTTCTGCTGATGGTAAAGAACCAGTTTGGTAAGATGGTAAAAATCTTGAGATCAAATAATGACACAGAGTTCTTTAACTCTTAGTGCAAGGATCTATTATAAAGTTTTGAAATTCTGCATTAGAGTAGTTGTGTTTACACTCCTCACCATAATGGTGTTGTGGAGAGGAAACATAGACACATTTTGGATATGGAAAGGGCCATAAGGTTTCAGTAAAAAATGCCTATTAGGTATTGGGACATGTGTGTTACACATGTTGTGTACTTGATAAATAGACTGCCTTCTACATCACTTCAAGGAAAGAGTCCATATGAAACAATGCATACCAAGCCACCATCATTGTCACTTTTAAGAGTTATATGATGTTTGTATTATGCAACAGTCATTCCAAAAGGGGATAAGTTTGCAGAAAGAGCAAAGACAGTTGTGCTCATGGGATACTCAGAGAGACAAAAGGGGTACATCCTGATGGAACTAGCTACAAAACATCTTTTTTGTCAGTAGAGATGTGGTCTTCAAAGAATCAGAGTTTCCTTTTTCTCAAGCTACCATTGAGTATGGTTCAGAGGATCGTAGTTTTTGGAACAACCTAACTATGATGCTTCTACCTCAGAGATCAATCATGCTAATGAGGAACAAACTCAAAATGCAGATGCACAGGAAATAGCCACAGAAGAGGAGAATGTGATGGATTCTACTACTGATACATCTGCTGTAGGTGGTTCTTTGTCTCAACCAACTACTCCATCAACAAATCCTTTGCCCACTATAACTGATCCTTTGCAAGCAGAAGGATCTCAGTCTCTTATCAGGAAGTCAACTAGAGAGTCTAGAGAGCCCATCTGGATGAAGGAATACATAGCACATGGGAAGACAAGCAACAAATATCCCATAGCCAACCATTTGTCTTATGAAAAAGCTACTCCTGCCTATTAGTCCTACCTAGCAAACTTCTCCAGTCTGGTAGAATCTCTGAACTTCAGGCAGGCTATGAAGGATGTAAGATGGATAGAAGCTATGAAACAAGAGGTCAAAGAACTAGAAGACAACAGAACATGGGAAGTAGTTGACTTACCACATGGAAAGCATACTGTAGGATCCAAACGGGTGTCTTATAAAATTAAGTATAAAGCTAATGGTGAGATTTAAAGGTTCAAGGATAGACTTGCTGCAAAGGAATATAGTCAACAAGAAGGACTTGATTACCATGATACATTTTTACCAGTGGTGAAAATGGTCACATTCACCACTCACTACTCATAGTCATTCTCAAGGATCATCATCAGCTGGTGATGTATTAATAGGAATAACTGGAAAGATGCCATATTTCACTGAGGAACAATACAAACAAATCCTTGATCTATTAAACAAATATACACCTTCTGATTGTCAAGTCAACATGGAAGGTATAACTACTAGTTTCTTGTCTAAAGCCTATATAGATGAGTGGATTGTAGACTCTGGTGCCACTCACCACATAGTAGCTTCTAATGATCTATTGATGAATGATAATAAGACTACTAGGACTTCTAGTAATGTGGTTTACCTAATGAAGATACAGTTCCTATTACACTTATTGGTTGGGCTGCTATATTTGGAAGTGAAGCAATACATGATGTCCTTTATGTTCTAGGATTCAAGTTTGACCTCCTTTTGTCAAGACCCAATTCCTCCATCCGTGAATGATAAGAGGCTGAATTTAGGTAATTTAGCGATTATTTATGCTCCCGTTTGATTATGTTCCGATGTCATAATGGGGTTAATTGATTAAAATGGGCTCTAATTGCGAATTG